CATCTTAAATCCAAAATTAATCATCAGTTGGTTAAAAAATGATATTATCTTCAACTTCTTCCGTCTCCGCACACACGTCTTGGGTGAAAAATTGTAGATTTACAAACTAGAAAGACCTCAAAAAAGTGATCACATTGAAGTCCCTGAGGTCATTTTCAATCCCATAATGACCCAATACTATTTTGCTAAAATAACCAAGTAACTCAGTTTTGGCTAAAATGGCTCACTAAATTGCATGTGCTTCTTGTTATGAAACAACGGTCAGTCCATGCAATTTTTGACGTGATATTCATCATGGGTCATCTAGACATAGGTGGGAACCTTTGCGGCACTGCGGTAATGTTGTTATTGTTGTTGTAACCAAGTAACTAAGTTTTTCAAACTGTAGTGAGTACAAAGTAGCAAGTACTTGCCAATTAATTTTAACAAGTTACTCGCTTACTGAATTCAAGAGAACAAACAAAGCAGCAAAAGGCGAGCTCAACTCAAAACATGTCCCATCAGCTTTTGCCAACAATGACACATCTGTAGTTAGAGAGTAATTTAAAGTAACAGAATCTCCTATACAACTCTTTGCTCTTTTCTGTTTCTTGCGAGCGATTGAATAGTCACTAATGTTATTGCCTTTTCATTCCTCCTAAATCTCAAAATGGTATCAGAGTATACAGTAAAGAAATGATGATGGTGTGTTCTAGCGGTGTAGCAATTAAGCTCAGCAGTTCTCCGACACCATCAGATACTGTTTCGATAGCTCTCCCTGGAACAATTAAAAACCCTACTTATGTACTGCTTTTCCTATGATTCAAGTCATGGAATGACAACTTGCCACTGTTGGTATTGACCTTTTATTCTGCCTTAAGGACTCGAGAAACTAACAGTTTTTCTTTGAAGTTCAGCTCTGCTAATAGAAAACATGCAATGGCTAATGCGGTTATCCAAGCGATACAGTGGATAGATGTTACAAATAGGTGAATAGAGGCATGGTTTCAGGCAAACCAAGATCAGGGGCTGCTGCAATGGTGCTGGTTTGTTGAGATGATGCAGGGGGATCAGCGTGCTAATCCCTCACGAAGTCCCATTCAAGGCAATCTTACTACTGCTAAACTTGTCCCTAATTTCAAGCCAATCTCACTACCAGGGGCGGACGTACATGTCAATCAGAGTTAGCATAGGCTTCAGCTCAATATTTTCTACTAACCTAAATGTTAGCACTTAATTTTGTTGAGGCTTCACGTTAGGGGTTCGAAGCCTTGCAAGGCTACACCCTTATTTTAACTTTTTGAAGTGCTTCACGTTGGGAGTTGGCCCCAGGTTTGCAAAGGAGGCAATTTCTCTCCTACATGATGTTTTTTAATTAGAGGCTCACTCCGTATTAAAGGTTATAATTGTTACTACGTATAAATCTATTACGGAGTATTATATTACTTATTATTATTGTTGTTGTTAATTTTAAATTTTAAATGTAGCTCTAAGTTGTATTATCTAATACTGCAATTTGTCAATTTTTTATTAATACAGCTTCATCTTATTTACAAATCTAACAAAACAAATTTTTACAATATTTCAATTTGAGCTTTGCCACTTTGTAGTACTTTTGATGTATTTTCTGATTATTAATATTATATTCATAAAAGTGGTTTAAATATCCGCATGGATAATTTAACTTTATCATCTGCCAATCTTAAAACCCACATATTTCAATTACTTCAGGACAGTGGAAGTATTTACATATATTTATTTTTAATTAATGTTTGTTGTTGTAATAATAGACTCATATGGAGTATAATGTATTACCAAGTATAAAGTATTACTCCCTTTATCTCGAAAAGGTTTGTCAAATTGCTTTTCTTGGTCAATGATAATCAACTTTGTCCAATGATATTATTAATAAGAAATTATTTTAAATATAAAAATTATATCAAAATTTTCCTTATTCAAAATACTTTCACCAAGATATAAATTTATAAAAATTATATCAAAATTATCCTTATTCAAAATACTTTCACCAAGATATAATCAATTTGTCAAACTTTTTCGGGATGGAAGTAGTACATATGTGCATACACTGACTTCCGATGCCTAAGTCCGCCACTGCTCACTACTGATAAACTTCCCCCTGATTTCAAACTAATCTCACTACTGGTAAACATGGAAGGTAAAGTTCTAGGATCATTTTGAAGTAGCAAAACAACAGACACCAGATACTAGAGCAACCAACCATATTGTTTGGGACGCTTATCTGCTTCTTAATTCCAAACTAGTAGCTAGTATATATGTTAAACGACGAAAAGGTTGATAATACAGGTGCTGGAGAGCACTCATGCATGTACCACTAATGCTCTAGAATATAGGGTTACATATTCCTGTGTTCCGTTACAAACTAATGTTAGTGGGGTAATTGCTTGAAGACAGATGGTGTAGTGTCCTTTTGAAGACTGGTGGTTGTTTAATACATGAACAGCCCTCTGGAAGGATGATTGTATTGGCTAAACTGTAGGATGGACTTTTCCATCTCACTAATTCAAATCATGCATCTTTTTTTCTTACTGCTGTTTCTGTTAATACCCAAAATGTTAGTACAAACTACAAATATTTTAGGTTATCGCGTGTTTCTTTCCTAAAAATCAAGATCCATTTGGCCAGGAAAAAAATATTACCACTTTCTATTGGTACCTGAGTGTGTTTTTTATCCTGTGAGTGCATCTTCCGGAGCAAGAGAGTTCAAAATACTATGTATTATGGAGGTAGCAATATTAATATTAGCTTCAAATGGCAGCTGAAAGCTACCTTCTTGTCCTTGATTTCACTGGACTGGATCCATGTCTTGATTTGGTCTCTGTACCTCTGGAGTTTCTTTATTTCCTTCTTCAAATCTGCCTCAAACTTTTCTTTCTGGTTCGCATTGTCAGTGTCGTAAACCTTATTGTTTGGAAAACCATAAAGTTCATCAAGAAAATTGAAGCCAAAACAGCGCAAAACAAAAAAGTACCAAGCTAGTTACTCGTATTATTTTCTTAAATCAAAGTTTAAGCGCGGACCTTGTTCCAAATGCTATCGAAGAGGTCGACGCCCTCCTGAACCTTCTTCAATACTCGATCAATCTCACCTTGGAGCTTTCGACTCGCTCCCATTGAAGAAGAACAAAGTAACAGCCTATAGAAATTGGGATTGAAAACCACGACGGTGATTCAAAGAAACCGCTTTAGCTTCTAAGGATTCTGCTCTCTTCCGATTCTCCAAAATCAACTGCCCACACGGCAAAGGTTTTGCAGGCGAGCAATGTCTGCTTTCGTCAGTCTCGCGGTCAAAATCTACCCGAACAGTAACGATCTGCGAACCGATTATGAGCCGGTCCGAGCCGTGTATGGGTAGATAACATTACATACCTTCTTTTTTATAAACTAGAATTTCACCCGTGCGTTGCACGGGATGAGATTTGTAATTACTGATATGTGTGTAGCTTAAAGTTTTATGTTTGTCCAAATGTTAGTGAAAGATGGATTTATTAAATATTAAAAAATATTGTGAACTACGTAGTATTTTGTAAACAATTTCGAAAATGTATTAATCTTCATGAAATTCAGTTTTGGTAAAACTGAGTCCAAATGGAACCTTATTGTTAAGAGGACATACAATTTTTTCAGGAGTAAAAAGTAGAATGGCATAAAAAATACCCTCTTCTAAAGATCATCTTCAACTCTTGTTAATGATCTCTTCGGTTTAACTTTGAGGGAGGTTGATTATTACAGTTACACATAAATACGTACACCTATTCTCGGTTTAAATTCGCGTCTTAGCTCACGAAAACATATAATGGTTAAAATTATGATCGACCCCTCTGTTATAAAGTAGGATCTTAAACCCCTAACCCAATCACCATAACGCCTATCTTTATGATTTGCCCAATTGATCTTGTTTCTACCCTTGTTAAATCAACATTTGGGATGGATGAGTTTTTTTTTGTGTCGGTTCTGGTCACTGGGATTGTCGATCTTCCATTTATATATAGAAAGGAGCATGAGACCAGAAGCTATAATTCTAGCTCCGAGCGAGTCTCGGTTTAATTTTTGTGTACATTTTTAACTCCAGCCCCTTCTTCAGGTTTTCAATGCACCTCTTTTCACCTGCTTCCCAATGAAAATTATGGGAAAAAAATGGGACCAAACTGAGACTAAACCGATCAATCTCGATCGCTAATTTCGGTCACCAAGGAGCAAGATCCTCAACTAAACCGATTGATTATGATCCCTAATACGATTTTGATTAAAAATTTGAAAGGTTTTAGTCATGCCTAGGATCGGAATCGTGCCCACCACTAATGAACAATAGTCGTTACTAATTTCACTTTCAATACAAATATGGAGTACTTTTTATCACACTGTGTGGTTACGGTTCACGAAGTAAAAATGTACTCCACTACATATTCATTAAACATTCTCATCTACGAAGAACGAAACATTCAATACTCTAAGTAGAATTAAAGTTGATTTTTCAAATAGTGCTTCTAAGATCAATTTAGAACACTTAGGGCCAGTATGGTTGGAAGATTTTGGAGGGGAGGGAAGGGTTCTTGTTTAAATTTTAAACTAATTTTTACATTTAGACAAATTGAAATAAAATGAGGACACAATAGTATATAAAAAATACATGGTTTAACTAATTATATATTTATTTGTAGTCAAAAATTAACAAATTCAGATAAATTAATTAAATAAAAATTAATCCTCCCCTTCCCTCCCCTCCAAAATCCCCCAATCATACAGGGGTTAAAAATATTTTCATACTTTCACAGTTTCACCAAAACACTCTAATATCTAGCTACTTATACTCCATGATGAGAAGAAGCAAGTTTAAAAAGTAGATCTCCAATTCTCCAAACACCCCCCTTCTATCCCTCTTGTTCTGCGATTATACTTTTCCTTATTTAATTATCAAATATACTAATGAATGGCTAAAAAAAATATAAAACTAATGAATTTAATTATTTTTCCTTATTTAATTACCAAGCTATAATATAGTAACAACAATATTTTGTATTAAGATTAATTTCAAGAAATATAAAAGTTTCACTAAAATATCCCCAAAAGATATGGTACAAAGGCACTTGACAAAACACGTGCTCACTCTTATAGATAGAATTCCTTGAAGCATTGTTATTCCAGAGGGCCTTAGAGTCACGACACTCATAATAGGAACAAAAAGCCAACATGAATAAACATGACCACAGAAAGGGGCTAGTAAAAGTTTGAAGAGTGGCGGTGGCCGGGGTAGGTAAGTTTCAGGTTTGAACCAATTGATCTGTTCATCGTAGCTCCTTGCTTTGGAATCTGAACGGCTGATAAGTTTCACTCGGTACAACTCCCTGAGCATCTTGTTCCAATGATATGGGTGTAAATTTAGTCTTCCGATCCCTAAATGCATCGATAAACACAAAATCAGCAGAAAGTGGTATTACGAACCATTACTCCCAAAGAGTGATGACCAACAGAAACTCAAATGGGTGCTCCTGATGGTTTTTCTTTAAAACTTCAGTTCATTTAATTTAATTAATTGGTGAAACAATAACTCCTACTCCAACGAAGGTGGTTGGTAAAAAGTATACACAAAAACATTCAAATTTAGTGCACCAGGTTGTTGTTTTTATGAAAAGCACATTAGTAGAGCCTAATCAACTGAGGAATAACTTTCAGATGAAGACCCTATTGGATATGCCTCTCAATCAATCTTGTAATTTCTATAAAGTCGTCTTCTTTTATAATGAAGTACCAAGACACCATACTAAATTTTGGTTAAGATTGCACAAAAACACATAACTCAAACGTTTACCACACTTGTACTAAAATTAAAGTCATCAACTTTTACACATATAAAGTCATATTAAACATAAAATTCTATAAAATCATCAACTTTATTGACAAATTGAGCATAAAATAAGATTAGAATTATAAATAACACATATCCAGTGACTGTTTTATAATTAATGTTCTGTAATTATAATGTATTTTGTTTACATAATGTTTTTTTAGTTTCTTTTGAAGTAGTAGTACACTTAACATTCTTCTAAAATAGCATATTTTATTTTAAGCTTTTATCCAATAAATCTTGATAAAATACTGGTTAAGTAAAGTTAAATATGGAGTAAATAATTAACACATAATTCAGTCATCAGGAAAATACAAAAACACGTGATTCTAAAGGAGCAGGGAATGTTTACATGAACTATTATAATGTCAAAATAAACTTTATTGAATTTAATTGACAAACTCAGATAAAAAGAAGGGTTGTTACAAAATCACATAAGTATTACCAAATTTATTTTAACAAATATGATAATAAAGAACTAAAACTACAAATAGATACTAACAATTCCAAATAAAAAAATGATAACACATTACTGATATTCAAATAAAATTTGGTAAAATGTTGGTTAAATGACATGCTGGTTAAAAGTCTCTACCCAGTTGATATATTTAACTCACCAATAGCACCGATAGTTAAGAATGCATCTTCCTCCCTGAACATCAAAATGTGTCCAATAGCAAATTCTGCATTGAGATTACAATAACTCCTAAAAAATTGACACTGAAAATCTTAAAAGTAAGTATTTCAAAGAGAGTGGAAGGAGGCAATGTCTGAGTACAAAGAGGCATGAACCTAATTCTGATAGGCAACATCCAATATGTAAATATGAAACTAACTGTGATTGGATAAAGAGTGAATCGAATGAGTGACCTTTAAATACCACGAGTACATTTGAGGTTTCTGATGTGTGCTGCTACCTCATTACAGTTAAAATTCATCTGTTGGGGGTTCTAAGCAGCTAATTCATCTCTCCACCCAGCGCCTTTCTTCTGCTTCTTAATTTTCTCTATATTTTCCTTAATTTCTTCCCCTCGCATTTGAGTTCCAAAAGGATACTAAAAGCATCGGAATAATGACATGTTGCAGAGAGGGCTTTATTCTTATGGAAATATAAGCGTATAGTAGAACTGATTGAAATGAAATGACATGCTACTTTACCTATCATCTTTCAAACATTAGAGAGAAATATGAAGTCTCAGTGGAACCAAGTAGTCCATGGGCTGACCTCCAATGTCCAAAAAAAGGTTCCTGGAAAAGGATGCCGAGCTTTTTGAGGAGTGTCAACGTTTACAAATTAAAATGTTCTAGACCTATATATGATAATCAATAACAAATCGAGTACCAAGATCGGTTTTGTTGATATAAGATATGTCCGTCAAAACCAAAATTAAAATGTTGATATGTCCATCAAAACACAAAGACCACCATATCAAGTATATAATGCCTCAAAGCTATCATATACATATTATCATTTTAATCATATGTTTTTTAAACCTGATCGAAGTTTGATTAGAATGGAGCAATGTTGGAATTGTACAATTTTAAATCCTCAATAGTTCATCTACTATCTTATAAAACTAAGATGAGTAAGTTAGTTTTAACTTCACCACTTTACTCGATAAAAATGAATAGAAACAGATCAAACACATATTTAACACACAAAAATTGAAATTACTTCCCAGAATCCCAGTTATGTTTTTTTTGAAAGGATAGCTATGGTTATTCATTATGATCTTTTAAAAGCTTATAAAGTAGTTCTGAGCTACGTATAGCAACAAACAATATGAAATGCAAGAAGAGGAACTACATTAAAACTGTTTTCTATATGCAACAAAGAACCACTTTTCTATTTCTCATTTAGAAAACAGAAAGAAGAAATGCAGAAGATCAAAGAACTTAAACTCTTTTTCTTAGGCACTAAGTAATTACTTAGCAAAAAAAGTTAGCATAACACACCTTAAAAAAGTTAACATAACACAATTTGAAACTTTAGATAGAAAATCAAACTTTGGGTCTGCTAAATTCAAAGAACTGAGATTAATAAATTCTAAGAAAACTAAAATGGGAATCATAACCTGTTTTTTAAAATCGAAATGGAGAAGTTGATTCTGTGTTTTTCAACTCGAACAGATTCCGATGGGAGAAGTAGAAGAAGATGAGGTCTTGATGAGCAGAAAAAATGAAGACCTTTCAGCGATGATGGGAACCGAACAACCCTTAAATGGCCATATAAAAAAAAGAAAAAAAATAGTTCCCACACAAATCAACCACCAAAGACAGAAAGAGAAGAGTGCTTAAATGAAAATTAAGACCCTTAGATTAATAAATTCAAAGTAAACTAAAACAGGAATCAAAATCTGGATTTTAAAACTTAAATGAATAGAACAGATCAAGCACCTATTTAACACACACACAAAAAGTTAACATAACACACCATAAAAAACGTTAACGACTAAGGCAATTTGAGACTTTGGAAAGAAAATCAAACTTTGGATCTTCTTGAGGACTTCATGAGAAGGAAAAGTCACCACTAATCATTTTGAGGCTTGATTGCATAGCAACCTAATTCAAGGTTTATATGTGATTAAACTTGGAGACAATTGGAAGCAAACTTTGAGTTGATAGTACATGTTAAACCTCTTTAAATGAAGGATCTGTAGATCGAGGTGACCTATATAATTTCACAACAACTAATATCACATTGACTGGCACTGTTTGCTAATAATAACTTCTATGGGAATAGTTCATATATGGTTACGAATCTGTAAATCACACTTAGATTTATCAAATCTATAATCGTAGAGAATCTATAGTTCTTGAAATCGTTAATGCTTTTCATTAAAAGTTAGCGAAATTTCTACAATTGGGCAATATAGAACCCAAATTTGATGTAAGACGTCCCTCTGGTCAGTTCTCGAAAACCCTAAAATGCAATCGGAATAATGGAAATAATAGTTGGAGATTGAAATCGGAAAGAGGATGAAAATACCTGCGATGGAATTTACTCTGTAATCGCGATGGAACTTGGTTGAGATGGTTCCCAGTGAGAGCGAGCGGCGAGGAGTGAAAGATGAATCGTAGCCAGGAGTGAAGTGAGATTTGGAATAGATGAATGAATTTTTTTCGATGAAGGAAAGAAAGAAGAAAGCTGCGATGAGGATGCTAAAAGAAATGGAACGGAGTGAGGAAGCGCCGCAGATCTATGAAGTGTGGATCGTGCGGCTATAAATGGTCCTAGAACTTTGAGCGGCAAAATGACTCTCCCAAAGTATTGCAATTATGTAGAGTGATTTATATATACTTTTGTGATAATATGTTAAATAAATAATGTTTTCATATCATATTTATATTTATATTATTAATATCATCGTTTTAAATATATATTCGATCAAACTTTAATTTATGCGACTTAAAATATCAAATTTGACAAAATAAAAATGGAATAAGATAATATATATACAAAATATGATATTTGAGAAATTATACTATGTACTTCGTATTAAGTAAATTCTATTTACGGTGAACGAATTCAATATTGGATAGAAAGATTAACGAATTTGTGATTAATGTTAATTCTCTATATCGTGTGTGAATCAAGTTAGATAAACTTTTATGGGATGTCTAAAATATGATCTATGTCGATAACTCCTGTTGAATTTTATTAAATCCATAAATTATAAATTTTTAAGAATTAATCAAATGATATATATGTTGAAGACTTCCCATAGTTTTCTATAAAACAAATTGGAATAAAAAACTACATATATACTTTTGAAAGATAAAATTATGACTAATATAATTGTTTACCCCAAAAGTGATTGTCTTTTATTTAATTCATTAGTTTGATTTTTTTCTTTTCATTCGCATCTCACCGCCCTTTCTAGCAGGGACGGATCAGGATTTCGAGTCAAGAGAGCGAAATTTTTTCGTTAGTGTAGGGGTGATTTTTTTTGCTAATGTAGCGGGGCAAATTATTTTTTACTAGTGCAGGGGAGCGAATTTTTTTCACCAGTGTAGGGCTCTACACCTATTTTTTATTCAAAAAAAATCCATTAAGACATACCAGTACATGATGATATTCAAATCTATTACATTCGAAGTTTAAACAATGATGAAATAACTCTGATACATTCTAAGTCTAGAAAAAAGTATTGATACATTAAAGCGTAATGTATCTATTACATTATAATTTCCATCATTTGCAATGGAGCCAGATATTCACTATTTTTTTGCTTAGGGATATGATGGAATAAAGCAAAATGACATCACTAAACTGTTTGCGCTTCTTTGTTATAAGCATCAGTCAGTCTATGCATGTTTTGACGCGATTTTCACTTTGGGTCATCCGGAAACAGTCTTTATGTGCTTTAGTACAAGGGTAAGGCTGTGCACATCCAACCACCCCTTACCCCACCGTAGGTGGAAGCCTTTGCGGCACTGGGGTAATGATGATGATGATGATGATGATGATGATGACGACGACGACATTAAAGCGTAAGAAGTGGCAAATCAAACAGAAATTATTTGAAAATAAAAATAGATATATGATATTTTATCCAAATATTTGAATATAAAAAGATTAAAGGGTATACATCCAGTAATACTTTTTAAATAACATCTGCTTTGTTATATCACATGAATCTTATCGGAATAAATCATTGATTTTTGAGTTGCAATTTTTTTCTATCAATGAGAGTGTTCGTAAGTCACAAAAAATTTTCTTAATATTACAATAGTGTGTATGAGATTATTATTTTTAAAATAATATTATATTGCAAATTTATATATATGGTGCATATTATATTTGTATTAATGCTAAAACAAGTTAAAATTTATTATTTATGCACTAGATTGTTTTTAGAAAAGTAAGAAGTAAATCGATTGTGTATTTAAATGTTAAGTGTCATCAACAAACATTTATATTTTGGAAAAACTACATGACATTAAAACAGTTTATTTATTTTGTTTGATAATTAAACATACATTACAAAACTAGAAATTTTTATATGATAAGTATCCAAAGTTTTGAACAATGAGTTGTTCTATTAATTATTTGTTTAAGTTATGCAAAATATTTTTAATTAAGGGAGACGAACACATATATATTTAATTAAAGCATAAAAAATTTATGAAAATATTACATATATAAAGAAGATTTTGAAACTCCAGGCCCCTCCTCAATCCATCCCTGTCTCTAGCTCTTCATCTGCCACATCCGATAACCACCACACTGGTAACAATGGTGGTGTCAGCAATAGCAAAGTGACGTTGGTTGCTTCGATCGTGACATCAATATAAGCATGTAGTATTATGTAATAGATCAATAATGATTTGAATATTTGTCAATGACATAAGATTTGCTAATAGTTAGCTTACCTAGTTACATTTTCTCCATATTCTAGAGGCCGTTTGACAACACTGATTTTCGGCTTATCAGCCAGCTTTTTCACCAAACGCGTAATTTTTGCTTTCGCGCGCTAAATTGTGTAATAAGCAGAAAAAATAAGGTTGAAGTTACTTTTCTGGCTGTATTGGTTGAAGTTATTGTAGATGACCATTTTAGCTATTTTTACATATAACTTTTTCTTTATTTCATTAATAAAATATATTTTAAAGATAATTTTTCCTTAAATCAGCAGAATCAGCCAATGCAGCAACTTCAGCCAGAACTTCATAAATTTCCGCAGAATCAGCCAAAACAGCCGATTTTCGTGCTACCAAACGGGCTCTTAATGTTTTTAATAGGGCTTAAGCATAGTACTATCTTTGTTCCCTGAGATTGAGACAAGGGAAATTGAGGCAATTCTACCCGAAGCAGAGCTATGCATTTAGTTTGAATTTTTCAATCACGAATTGAATAAAGTAAAAATGAATTAAAATCATGCAAATATTATTGAATGATCTGGGATAATCTTAATGAGATTGAACGGAAAAAATTAGACAATCATAATAAAATGGATGGAAGTAATTTTTAAGGCAAATGATGGATCACATATCCAATTATTTGCTCTCCGGGCCCGATCGAACAAGTATACCAAACAAGTCTTTAGGAGGGGTGTATATATTGAATATGGATTTTGGTGGATTTTTTAACCCATTGACTTTTAAATAAGTTCATTGACTTTTGAATCCATGAATATTTTCTTTGAATGAATTCTATTTACTTTTAAATTCATGGATAAGCTTATGAGGTTTTTATAAGAATATTACTAAAATAAAACTTATTTACACAAATATGACTATCCATTACTACAACGTGGTGTTGTAGTAACTTAAGTTCAAAACTTGAACATGAATTACTATGATTTCATTACTACTCTAGTAACTAATCATATTTTTGTAAATCATCTTTATTTTGGTCATATTTATGTAATTATTTCTAAGCTTATAGGCTTCCAAAAAGTCCTTTTAAATCCCGACCGCCGCAGTTGGTCATCGGAATTTTCGCCCAAATCGCCATCTCCGATCATTTCGAATCTCACCACTGTCCACCTCTGTCGCTGGAGTTTGTTACCACCGTCATCGGACTGATCGATCTGTCACCAACAAAATGACTTTGGTTATGCAAGAGAGTCAGAGTCAAGTAATTATATTAATTAATTAAACTAGGGGTAGAAATGTAATGCTTAGTCATGTTTAGAGAAAATCAAATATGATCATACTTTTGGGAAGAATGTTGTCTTTTATTCCCATCGTAAGTAATTTTCTCTGCACAATGTGATAAGAAACAATTAAATAAATAGATTGTAACTTGTTTAGGAACACAGAGTTCTACAAGAATGAGTGACTTATATTACACACCCCAATGAGTAAAAACATTAATCGTTACACAAATGTTACACTCATTGCTACATGTGGTACGACCATAGGGGCAATCGAGTTTTTCTTCTTAATGTTTGTTTTCTTTTATAGTTAAATATTTATTAATTTGAAACTATATTTTTATGTGTTAGCAATTTAACGATGAAAAGCGATAATATTTTTAAAAAATCACAGTAGCTAACTAACAACATACCAGAATTGCATTGATATGATACTATCGATTATTCTAAAAACTTCAAGGATTAAAACAATTTTGGATTAGCAGTCATACAAATGCTTCGTAAGATTCTTTCTAGAATTGAACGGATTTCACCCCTACATTTTTCTCCGAAACACGACATATAAATTATCTCATTTATGTAATAATACTTGTGTACCAGTATTAATGTAGAATCTCCTTGTTCAATGATAAAAAATTAGAATTTAATTTTCAACTCTTGCATATTGAGACCATCGGGGGGGTACCCACCCCCCGATCCGGCCGGTACGAATCCAGGACCTATTGAGAATTGACTGGTTTGTGATCACGAGTTTCATACCCAACTCTTGCTAACACTAGATTTGTTAGCCAAATCTAGTGTTATTTTGCAACTAGATCTATACGTACCGCTAATCTGCTAATCTATAGAAGACAATATAAAGATCCATGTAAATCTTTGATGAAGAGAAGAGACAATTTCAAAAAATTAATATACTAAAATTGCGAGGAAACGAGTTTTTACAAGAATATTACTAAAATAAAAACATATTTACATAAATATGATTATTCATTACTACAATGTGGTGTTGTGATAACTTAAGCTCAAAGCTTGAACATAAATTACTATGATTTCATTATTATTCTAGTCATTAGTCATATTTCTGTAAATTATCTTTATTTTCATTATATTTATATAATTATTATTATTTCTAAAAGTTTACATTTTGCACGTAAAGTTTTATAAAAATTCGTGAACTTTTAAAGTTTCTTCATTCTGCGCACACACTTTGTTTCTCAAACGGGGCATTTCAGGGCAAAATTGCATCGGGTCGGTTCAATCTGCGCGGTACTGTGGTTTTATTCACTCGGGGCGTTAGGGCTCCTCCACCCCTCTGCGTCAACACTCATCCTCAACCTCCGTTTATTCGTAAGGTATTCTGCTATCCTCCAGATGTCAAATACGGTTTCCCGTTACCATTCATGACTTGTTACACGATTGAGCTGTTTTGCCCCAGGGGATGGAGAACCCACAAGAAATTTCCGGCCAGGAAGGTAGGCGCATCATGGAAGAAATTGCGGCTACTGGAAAATGCTGGTAATTTTCTCCCCGCTACAGTAGTTGTTAAAATATTGGCAGATGACTAGATTCCCCTGCTGCAATAGTTGTTAAAAGTTCATTTTTAACAGTGAAGGAGATTAAAAAATGTTATAGGGTTCTGGCATTCTATTCATTAATTATGTTATTGATATAGCAATTAGAATAAATCAGATAGTGATGCCAGCAAGATATTAGTTTAGTTGAAATTCCGTTAGTTGTTGTATCCGTTTGTTGATCAAATTGTTATAAATAGGATACAAAGAAGCTGTAAAACTCAGGAATGATATTCTTCAGCCTTCTATCATCTTCTTCTTATACTCTACCTCTGAACATCATTTTCTAATCTCTTCTAAGCTAATTTCGACTAGCTCTTCTGTCGCCATAGCTAGACCAAGTTAGCTAAGGAGTAGAATTGGTCACTTATATAATCCATTCTTCAACTGTTCGATGAAAGTTAATGGTATCTAGTTTGAGGTATTAAGAGTCGACTCATGCATGGATTATTATTGCACTTTTTCTTGCTCTACATTTGCTGCAATGTAGACCTGGATTTACCGATGCCAAGGATGCTTGCCCTTTTGACCACACTAGATTATGAAGAGTCTTTTTTGCTTCTCTTTTGTTTGCTTTCTTTGTAAGACATTTATCTTTTAACGTGTTATACCAGGCACGACTGGGATAAGCTGAAGAGGTTTCTATCCTTCTATCTTAAGCAGGTATGATAGACTGACAGAATATGACGCAATTGAGTCAAGCTAGTTTTCTACTTTATCCTGCATTTGATAGACTTTGTACTGACGTACTTAGTTGCCTTTTTTAGTATACTCCTCACATGTTTTTATAATTTGATAATGAAGATACTGTCAGACTATCCGGAGTCAAAGTTGACACATGAATTGCAGCAAATTTCTGCAATCGGAGAGCCCTTTCCAGATTTGGTGAAAAGGTTGGATCATGGTATTTCCGCAGTCATACCTTTTATTCTTATGATTTTTTAAGATTTCAATGAAAGCCTGCTAGACTCCTATACTCATGGCAGCTGTTCCTAGGTATCAAACATGTTTCTTTGAGTTTAAACCCAACTGAGCGTCATTGGAAATCCAGTTACAGTCATCTTTATGGACTCTGTAGCCGCGACATTCAGATTGCAATGTTTTATGTGAATCTAGATATTCTAAAATTTTCTCCCTTTAACTACGCTAGGAAAAGTGCATAACATGTTCAAGAAGAAGAAAACCATACAATGGACCATTTGGAATTGAAAAATACTAGGCGAAGAATATTGGTAGGTGAGCAGAGAAAAAAGTGGAAGGAAAGAAATTTTGGTAGAAAATACGGAGTAAAAGATAAGCTGAACATAATCAAGTTTATTTTAGATATTTGTTCAAACTCATTTTCTTCATTTATTGATTTTATTCTATAATAAAGTCTATGGAATCTAAGCATTTGAAAATGTTAAAACACCTCAGTTGTATTTCATTTTTCTTTGCATTTTCCAACAAAGAATCTATGGATTCTAAACATTTGAAAATGTTAAAACACTTTAGTTGTATTTCATTTTTCTTTGCGTTCCTTTCCCTAGCATTTTCTGGGATCCAAGTTCCAAGCATCACTGAAGTACATGTATGAAATAAAGTTGTAAACCCTTTGCAATTGAGTGTCACACCTGTTCTAGTTACATTATTGCTCTATATTTTCTCAGCCCTGAATGTGTTTGTCTAATGACAACATTTATATATGGAGTTCTGGATGGAAAAGATCTTACATTTTTATCCCGCTGTTGGGAACTTCGGCGTATGGTGAGAAAGGGATTTTTTGTGAGTATTCAGATATAAAATTTCTGAGTATAATTCTTCGAATACCCTGGAATTGGGATATCAGAATTCACAATGCCCCATCTAGCTTTAACATCTTCCTTTATCCTTCACAAGGTTCAAGTGTAATGTTAAATATTATGTCCCTCCTCTTTTACTGCTGTTCAACTAAGTTCAGTCGGAACTTGCTTTTGCAGATCTTAATAGCTTTACTAATGGTCCTCCCTTTACTTTACAAAGACTGTGTGAGGTATGAAGAATATAATCCTTCTGCATATCTTTCGACCTGGTTTAAGTTTTGCCTGTATTCTATTGCTTATGCTATTGAACAGATATTGTTGGATCCAAGAAGCATTTACCCAAAGCTCTCAAAGCTTGCATTGGCGTTAGAAAAGGTCTGAACTTGACTGCTTGCACATTTATTCAACACTTTCCCGCTTTAACAGTTTTAAGAAGTTGAACTTTGTCTGGTGAAGTGTCAAATGGAGTAAATTTTTCAAAGTTGGTAATTGTCTGAAAATTTCTGGTCTTTATTGACACTCTATTAGTACGATAAATATGAAATTATAAATAAATCAATAAATAAGTTAATAATGAATAATATATTTAAATTAAAACAAGTACAAAGAACATCTATAAATTGAAAGAAATATTGGTTCACTTATTGAATATTACAGTGTAACTTTAATGAATCTCAAATTCTCATTATGTTTTCTGATGGATTCAAGTGTTTATGTAATACGCCCCCCATCTAAAAATGAGTCATATTCCAAACATTAATTTGTCCCAAAATAGTCTTATGTGATCGATCAAAGCTAATTTTATGTCCCATTTTGCCCAAAAAACAGTCACACACTAGGTATGTATGATGCATTTAGATAAACTAAATGACGTACCAGTAGGACTGATGATTTATAACGTGTAGCTAACAAAATCAATAGTACTACCTTGGTAAAACTTGATTCTTTTTATTGGGACAGGAGTAGATATGTAATAAAAGTTCAAAGAACAAAAATCTTCTGATTAGGAATACTTTAGTAGATACTGCAGATCAAACCTTGCTCGCAAATTTGTTGTATTCCTTCAAATCACAACATAAGACTATTTATTATGTCCAATTTTACTTGGGAGATATATTACACGTATGATTCAAGTTTCTTTTGGGTTTTTTTTAGTTTTATTTGATTAGAGACCTTATTTCTTCTGCTGTTGTTAAAATGCTTCACATCTGATTGCAGAACTTGTTGGTTGCATCTACATTGACCATCTCCGATGACCCATCAACTGCTACCATGCAAAAAGCAGGTGAACCAGAAACAGAACCATCCCCCCTAGTATCCCAACATCCATCATCAAATTTGGTGGTACCAAACGGGGTTGAAACCAGACGAGCTGAAGATACAGATGAAGTGATGGGGGAGGTTGAGGGGAATGAAGCTGTTGATGATGGGATTACAACCGACATGGAAACATTAGAAGTAGTCAGATCTGAAACCATTCCCACCGTGGTTGTGGAACCAGCTAGGTGTGACTCCATAGTTTGAACTTTGAAGCAACAGGGTGGGTTATCTGTCTGTATTTAGTATATTTTTTCATGTTAAAGTGCAACAAATTCTGGCTAACTATTTTACAGATGTTGTAATGGTAATATTGAAGTTGTATGGGCTCCTTGAAGACTCACTTTTCCCTTGCAAGAACCACTATTTTTTTCTGAATTGTTCTCATTTGTTCTTATATTTCCGGTAACTAGAATAGCACTTCTCCTGTAAGTGTATTTTTATACGGAGTATAATTTTTTCTTCTTATTTTTGGCTTATTTGTTTTGATCTGATTTCATCTTTCCAGAAACAAAATAGCACTTTTCGCAAGTGTTACTTGATATATCAATGCTTGCCAAGTTTGATTTAGGGAGTGCAAAAATTTTAAAAAAATGTTTTTCATTTTTTGGCTTAAAAAAGTTGGAATGAGTGTTTCTAAAGGATAACTTTTGCTAAAATTGAGCACTTAAAAACTAAAAGTTGGAAGAAGGTGTAGGGGTGTTTCAAACTGCAATTCTTTTTTATTACACAAGAAACATTTATTTTTCTAAAAACTATCATCTTTTACTTTTTTAGAAGCATTTTTTTCTTCAAGTCTGTCAATTTTTGTTATTAAGTATTTTTCCAAAATAACTATAAAAATATTACTTTTTCAAAATAGAAACAATTGCAAGCACTCTTTTAGACTTTTGCTTCGTTTATTAAAGCCGCTAGTTACATTGACGGATCATGTTTGGTTTATGAATAGATTTTTTGAAGAAAAAAAAGCTGATTGTTCAACCAGCATCGTAGTTCATATATGCATCATGCATGAGGCTTGTGATTCTAGGGTTCTCTGGCTTGGTTTGCAACGGCATAAACGGACGGTGATATATTCACTGGTGTATCTAGAAAAGTACGCCAGTGGGGGCAAGCTTACCTTAGATTATTGATTTTCATCTAGTGACGAATGGAAATCTGAAACAATGACAGGAAACTAAATCCTTTTATACGAAGTAGTACAAAGGTTAAACTCAAAAAAAAAGTAGTACAAAGGTTTGAGAATTACAAAATGACACATTTAGTTATTTCTTAAATAAGAATAATTATTACTCCTTAATTACTATCAAGTTTGATTAACAATGCCATTTTTAAAGTATGCTACTATCAAAACATGACAATAATTAGTCCTATTTAGGAAGTAAAATGTACAATCCTATTTTTTTAATAAGCAAACGTTTTTACTTGGGGCAATTTCCCAAGAATAAACAAACAATACACGAAGAAGCCATAGAATCCAAAACTGGGCTGCATATGACTGACAGTTGTTGGTTGTCTTAGCAAATAAACCAAATTGCTAATAGACATCACCGCGTACACAGCATTTCACATTTTATGACTGAACATTATAAAGATTTCATTCATGTCCAGACTGAGTCATATGGGAACTGAAATACCCACAACTACAAGACCCTCTTAATCTACATCATTTGAGACATGTTTTCAGATATAAATGTGCTTGCATGATACACACCACCAATCGCTTCCCATGCTCCCAGAATCGCAATATACTTATGATATCCCTAAAATATCTGCAATTCTGAAGGGTAGGGATTGAAAAAAAAAGGCAAAACTTGAGAATATATACATGTGAATAGAATAGGTCAATGCTACTCAGAGAATGCACATTTAGAGGGAATAGTCTGCATACCATTGCTGATTTTTTTTGAACTCTGTGAGGACAGGATATATGTTCTCAAAAGCAGCATATGTCTCTTCCCGCACCTGACAAAGTAGAATAATGGTGGGCTATGTTCTCGTCTCACATTAGACTAACTAGATACACCCTAATGGGGGGATGCCTCACCTTTGCTCCTGTCAGGACAATTTTTCCAGACACAAAAATGAGAAGCACAATCTTCGGTTGCTTCATCCGGTAAATTAAACCTGGAAAAAGTTCTGGTTCATACTGCATGCACACAAAACACATTTGATCACATAACTGCAACAAATAAACACCCATTTGGTTGAACTACAATATTCTGATACTTACACTTGAAAAGGCACCATGGGAATATGCTAATCCCTCAAGTCTTATGGGAAATTTCACATCACATGAACCAACAATATTCTGAATCTTAAAATCCTGTCAAATAGCAACAGGCAATGATATTAGTGTCATAAAGACAAGTAGCCACATACATTGAAAGAAAGAGTTAATGACTTATTTACTCCTTCGACTTCACATCACTACTCAATTTCGTCATTGCCTTTAGTTAGTCTCGATATGGTCCTCAACCATACAATTTAGACCCAATTTCACCCTCAAGACATATTAGGCTCCTGGAAGGGTATATACTTCCAATGAGGACATAATTGAGTCCAGAATGACTACTTGAGGAGATATTAGGGCACAAAGTTGGGCATACATTTTGTGAACGGCCGATATGTACGATGGCTGAATAGCATTCAAATTGCTGGCCCAAACGACCAAATTGGGTGATAGTATACAACTGAGGGTCTAAAGGGGATATTAGCTCTATACTGAAATGTGCGGAGGAGAATCTAAATTCACCAATCAGAGCAGAAGGGAGATGTACCTTAAATTTAGCGGGAAATCCCAGCTTCTGGATAATACGAGCATACTGAAAGACATAGATAGATGAGATTGGGGTCAGTGAAGTTGATTGTGTTAGGGGTGGGGGTTTCTTTACAGAGCATCCTAATTACTGTCTGAGATGCTTTCTTAAATCATGTTCATACAATCATATGGTAGCTAACAAACTTTCAGAGTATCAGAACCCAGAATCACCAGAAACGAATAAGAGCATTGCTAAAATAAGAAGCGGTCTGACAGTGCTTCATTATGCGTGTGTGCGCGTGTACACGCGTGTGTGTGTATAATTCGACATCTACATAAATACCTTCCTAGCTGCAAGCCTTGATTGTTCCTCACTCTTTGCTCCAGTGCAAACCTAATTCAAGAGAAGACAAAAAGAGATCAGGACAAGTAATTGGGAAGTTTGGTTAAAATCTAACAAGAGAAGGTGAAAATGAGAACTATTTTACCATCTTTCCAGAAGCAAATATCAAAGCTGTCGTTTTTGGATCCCTTATCCTCATAATAACTGCAGCAAAACGCTGGTTGATGGAAAAGGGTCAGTGAAAGGACAAAATTTTAATGGCGCCATCCCACAGAAATCATGTAAACATGAGAAGTTCAGATTCCGGGTACTTCATTTGGTTATAAATAGCAGTAGCACTTGTAAATTTAATTGTATTTGATGAGTACCTTGGGGTTATATTCAGCATTGCGAGCTTGCAATGCAATGGCTTTAAGATCCAATTTACAGTCCAGGTTGACAGTTGACACAATATTCCTGGAATAGGAAGTAGCTCAAAAATAGTTGTTAGATTACAGTCCAAAAAGATCCAACGTCATTTTATTTGTGCTCCATTTCGAGAGTTATGACCCTGAATAGCCTATTTTTAGTCCATTTATTATGAACTTCTATCAATTTTTATAAAACTATATAACATCAGCTTTATACAAAGTGTTCTCAAATCATCCTGCAACTCATATACATCCTTAATCTTCATTGTATTTTCCCCTAAATCCCTTCATCCAGTACTAATCTAATGTTACAAAGAAACTGATGTTTTGATCAATATAGATCAAATCATAAATACGAGAAAATGGCACACTGACTAATCACTCTCAAGTTAGCTTAAAACAAAGACAATGAAACTATACACATATCTAGTCTGCAATGTAGCAACAGACAGTTGACCTCTGAGGTACATGAGAGGGTATACACTTAAAGAACCAATGCACCCTGGACATTGGTAGTACATTGGAAACCAAAAACTCAACTTTGACCTGGCTTTCAAGAATATCTCAAAAGCAAACTCCTTTATTACCCCGCGCACACTCCAGATGTGAAAAAAATGCCAAGACTTACTGGAGGGTTGGCACAATTCCAGACGGGTGCTTGGAAAGATCCACTGGTGTGCTCCCTCCCATAACGTCCTGATTAGCAGCCATTGAACGGAGGAAGGTCTTATCTTATTGAGGTTTTTTAATTGAAAGAAACAAATTTCTATAGCTTAGACGAAGTCTGAAACCCAATGGTTGAGCTAGGGTTCCGGCACCAATTTGAGAAGGCAGGATTCAACTACAGAGAAATCCAACCCTGCTTGATAATATTAACTGCTGGTAGTCAGATCGCAAGAAACATGTATCCGATTAAAAAGAAACACGAATAAAACACATACTGATGAATCAGATTGAATCCCCTTAAATTTATAGGGAAAAACGGGGAAAATCAACGATTGGGCGCCAAAGATTTGAAAAGCAACAGTTTTATAGATGATTTATGCATATATATGTACCGACATGTAAGTATTGGTTGATTTATATGCGTGCGTAGATATATATACCCTTTGAGATGAAGAGATCTGAAGAGAGAAGAGGAGGAGGAGCTAATGAAAGGCGAGAGGCGGAATATATGTATGCGATGGTTGAGCGTTTTGTACCGAGGGGTGGGGGGAGGGGGTATTTATAGACAGACTGGCTAGGCCCAGTAGCAGCCCGTATAGACACTCTTGTAACCGGCTATTGGCAGGAGACCCGGTAATTATTCAATTAAGCTCACTTTTAAAATTGATATGGCATTAGGAAACTGCCTAAGTAGAAATAAAGGGGATATGACATTCATATAAAATTGTATAATTTTATAAATATATTGTATATTTCTATTGTATAAATATATTGTATTTTTGTTTCTAAATATGAGCAATTAAATTATTTTATTAAAATATACTCCGTATCAACTAGGGAGTATCATATACTACCTCCGTCCCGCTAGATTGTCCCGTTTTATCATTTCGGTCTGTCCCACTAAGATTGTTCCATACAAAATTTGACAAAGTTTGTGTGGGTCTAAATCATTCTTACTTTATCAATTCAATATCAACTACATAAATCACTTTTTTATTAATTTGTGTGTCACTCCCTCTTGTTCCATTGTTAGTGGGATGTAGGGAGTATATACTAATGATACAATGTCATTGTGTGATAATATCAAAATATAACAAATTGATCTCAGGGTGATACAGTTTTGTAATTTCATGGTAAAGACAATTTTTCTAAAATTGTCATTTCATTTGTCCCGTAAAACTGCTCTGGTGTTGGCTTGTACGTCAATTAATAAAAAAGTAAAAGCTAATAATTGAGATTTATGTCGGAAAAAAACTTTATCAACATATTTAGTATTTACTACTGGTAGAATATATTTGGCCTGCCCCACGATCCACGTACTTATGAACATATATAAGCGGCACAATAAAAGCGTCTGAAAGTCGTTACGGTCGAGTCCATTAGCTTCACAGTGGCACGTCTCGATCCCCGACCTTAGACCACCGTCCCCGACTAAGGACTACATGAAAAGCAAGTTAGTACCCTTATCCCTACTAAAAAGATTAAAACCTCGCTCACAAAATGGGAAATACAAGAGGTTCAAGTAAAATATTGACACTCGGACTCTCTATGACCTTTGTTCTCAACAACAAACAGGGGCGGAGCTAGGGGGTGCCCAGGCTAGGCCCTAGCCCATCCCAAATTCGAAAAATGTCAATATTTTTAGTGTAAAAAATTTCGTGTAAATTTTTTTCCAATAATATTTTTTGTACCGACCCAGTCTAGTCCAGTGTCTTGGCTACGCCCCTGACAACAAAGGTCTGTTGATGCCAGCTCCTCACCTCAGGCAAGGAGAGCCACTAAGGAAGCATTCGCTCAATACGGTGTTGACTAGGACGTTGACCTCCACAGGTCAAGTTATTCCGCATCGCATGGTTTCACCTATCGACTAGCTTACATGTGTGCACATCTAATGTACTCAATATTTATCATGGGTATAAATTTATAATTATCCTCTTTGGGGCAACAGTTCGAAGTCTTATTTATTATCATATACTCCGTACTACGTATGGTATATCATTCTCTCCATGTACTTATAATTATCTCTTCTCTCGGGATACCACAATGATATTCATTGAGCCATCAACTATTTTAAATGAAATTGATAATTTAGTGGAGACTGCAAAAAATGAAAGGTGACAATATTTATAGGCAAGGGCGTATTTAGAGCAGGCATGGGCGGAGATAGGGGTGGGCCAGCCTTGGCCCTGGCCCAACCTAAATTTAAAAAATGTCTTCATTTTTAGTGTAAAAAATTCCAGGCAAAATTTTTTTTAAAAATATTCTTTGTATCGGCCCAGTCTGGTCCAGTGTGCTGGCTCCGCCCCTGAGAGCAGGGGCAGAGATTATTTACAGTGATAAAAATATGAGAAGTGTGTAAACCTATATATTGCATAACTAAAATAAAATGTGATTCTTTAAGCCTTAACTTAACCAAAATTAAATTCATGACTCATTTGAATCGTGAGATTGCAAATTTCAAGTCTGCGGGTGAGAGGTGAGAATGATAGTGCAATATTTTAAATAGGAATTCATTAAAAAAAATCAATTCCTTAGTTATATTGTTACGAGAATCGGTTGGATAGGGTTTCCAATTTATTTTTTGTGTCCTTTCTAATGTTATACTTTATTTTATAACAAGTTTAATTTCTAAACTCTGAAATGATGTGTGGCAATGTGGACCATATTATATTTCACATAGTGAGATTCTATTGGGCATGTTATGACATCAATCTATCAATATTGTAAGACGAAAGTAACCTTGATGCACCGATGATACTGTCTTTTTGTGCAGAAGTTCGCATACATCATAATAGTAGAAAATGAATAAAAATATAACAACAACATAGACAAAACACTAACAATACCATTTATATGTACTTTTGCATTCATAGAAATAATATAACAATAAGTGATTGGAGCACTTGTTTAATATAACAATCAGTTATTAGATCACTTGTCTAACAATAAGAATTGGTCCGCATTTCCACACATCATTTTATGAGCTTAAAAATTTGTTATCAAATACAGTAAATTTATACCATTTGATTAGATCACTTTAATTTGCATGGAAAAAGATACTGACATTTGAATGGCCTATAATGCCAATTCTTAAGAACAACAACAACCAATGATTGAGAAGGTCAAAATTAAACACTAATTTCTAAAGACAGTTTAAGATGGTGAAACTTAGTGTTGGGAAGTTTATCTTGAGAGCTATGATATAAATTGATTCTTACTTATTTGATTACTATTTGATTACTATTTTATGATTGCATTGTTCATCAGCTATTGTTACTTTAATAATGCTTTGAATGTGTAAACTCCATTGTACGTTTGCATATTCATTTATTCTCTATGAACCAAATCTTTCACAACAATATTGTGAGGTCTAACGTTACAACTCCACGTGGACTAACCCAAAGTCATGTCACATTTCACATCATTTCCTTCACAACAGTGGCGGAGCCAGAAGTCTATAGTTAAAAGGGCCGGTTCTTGAAAATTTTATTTTGCAGGGGCCAAAGTTTAAAATATCAACATATTTTCTATAGATTAAACGTATTTATACATAATATATACTTAAGATTTTTTTTCCTTGCAGGGGCCGAGGCCCCCTCCAGCCCCTTCCTGTCTCCACCCCTGCTTCACAACACCTTCCTAAGGGTATGTAATGTGTCATTAACACTTTATTCTCATTTTCATATTTAACAATCTATTTGTACTATGTAGTCAGTTTTTCAAGATCTAGGGTACTTTTGTACATTGCCAACCTATATATGATTATTATGTTTTATAAACTCCCCAAGATCAATGAATGAACACTTCAATTTGCTACCGATCATGCATGTTATTTCACTGTCACTTAGAGTTTATTCTAACAACTTAACGTTTATTTGAGGGCAGCTTGAAAGTTGTCATATGATCTACATTTTCACTTTTCCTGCAAACTATCGTTATGTAATCAAAGTTACAACATATGAAAAACCCATTTGGTGGCCCCTGTTTTTGGCTTATCAGCTTATTTTTTTCATTAAATGCCTAATTTTTATTTGGGGTGTGAAATTGTGTAGTTTTCAAAATAAATAAAGTTGAAGTAATTTTTCTGACTAAATTGGCTGAAGATTAGAAGTCCATTTTGACTATTTTACATTTTTTTTTTCATTTTATTAATAAAATATGCTCATTTGAGAAAAAATATTTTCATAAATCAGCAAAATCAACCAGTCCAACCATTTCAGCAAAAAACTTTATAAATTTCAACAAAATGAGCCGATTCAGCTAATTTTAGTGTACCAAATGGTCTCAGAGTCTGTTTGATAACAATAAAATAGATCGGATCGACTGAATTGGTTGAATTTATTGAATTATGAAAAATTTATATGTAAAATATATTGGGAAAAAGGTCAGATAGACCCTCGAACTTACATAAAAAGGTCGAATAAGCCCTTATATAGAAGACTCTATCCGGACCTCGCTAATTGGGGAGGTTCCCAGTGTTTTTTTTATGAACTTTCTTGAACATCTTATTCATTAAATCTAGTTTACTCATACCAAAGTTCATTAAAACTTCAATCGGGAAGACATTCAAATGAATTCTTGAAGATAACTGTATAGTTAAAAGCGTAGTTATCTTCAAGAATTCATTTGAATGCCTTCCCGATTGAACTATTAGCTGAAATTTGGTATGAATAAAATGGATTTAACGAAAAAGATGCTAAAAAAATTTCATCAAAAAAATCCGTCGGGAACCACCCCAAATTGCGACGACCGGAAACTAACTCTAGTTTTATTTATTTTATTATTACGCAATTCAAAGCGTGAAATCAATAATCATGTTTTTTGGTAAAACAGTTGATTATAAGTAGAATATTTGGTTATCAAACCGGTTCATAAACACTACTATGTCTTTTTTAACAAAGTCACACACTACCAATCATCATTATAAAAGATAATTTAAACGAGTTGTTATTCTACATATGTACCCATGCATCACACAGTCACTCACTTCGTCTAGTTTAAAAATAAAAGAAGTGTTGAAGGAAATTCTATGTAGTGTGCTATCGTTTATATAGAATATGTATTAGGGTTATTCCTATGTAAACTATGTAATCTCGGCCTATTGGCCCGTACTTGTAAACCCTACTCTATCCCTATTTATAGGGGTATTCGGTAATGAAACTCTACGAACAATTCTCCCTACAACACGTTATCAGCACGAAACCTCCAAAACCTAAAAAAAATTCTCCCCCTCTCTTCTCATGATTCTGCTCAGCCGCTATCACCAGCAAAGGCCATCGCCGCCTCGACGCCCGCCGAATCTGTACCTGTTGAAGGTCTTCATCGCCCGCCGCAGGAGGTCTCGACTTGAGGACTATCCGGATCTGGAATTCACAACCATCGACCAAAGATCTTCTCAAAGCCATGGAAGATGAATTATTGAAGGTCAGTGCTATACTCCCTAATCGTCCAGGTAAAAAGAAAAACTATTTGTTATGCTTTTATAAGCATATGATCCTTAATTTCATTGTGCCATTTTCAATTACGTAAAATCAA